CCTCCATCTTTTTTAAGGTCGCTCTATTAGAATAGTTTGTTTTTAACGGTGAAAACTGGTACGTGGGTCTTCCTACGTGATTGTGAAAAAAGTTAGGGCGAAATTGGGTCCAGAGTGCCACTGTGACTTGAAATGAAATTGGGATACGTGGTACATCCTAGAATGGCATTTATCAGCGCTGCATTCATTTTTTCGTCTTGTTTTCGTTTTGTAGAAAAAACTTTGGGCCCCACTGATTCTAACACCTACGTAGAAGTTCTGGAACCGACCAATACCCCAAATTACACTATCCTCACAAGCGTCGCTAGGCCTAGTTTAACATTTCAGAGCCAGTTGCCGATCTCAAGGATTCTGGATACTCAGAAGAGCTTCCTTGTCCTTCCTCGTTAACTGTAAACGCGTGTAACGGTTCTGCTCCAACTGATCATTCGTGAGTAGTTTGTTACTGTAGTATTTTCTGAGTCAATGTGTTCATAAGTGTGTCCAGCTTACAGAATTACTTCGGAATCATTAAGAATTATAGGTTTGCCACAGACGAACATGTGGGTGACAACTGTGAAACAGAGCAGCTTCACTCTAGCACCATTGACGAGGAGAGCATTGATTTGTTCAGCGAAAGTATGGAAGAGGTTGGTGGCGACATTCTACTGAGTGACATTGGTCTCAAACAATTCTTTAAAAATATGTTCGGAGAGAGCTGATATTTCTTGTAATTTGCCAAAGTTGCTGACATGCGCAGAACTGAAAGCGTCTTAATGTAATAAGCTTCATCACTCTCTGAATAGAAGAGCTGCGACCGGAAAAAAGGTAGGAATTGTAGGGACGGCAGGCAACAGTTCGGGGAGCACTGGACCATGCGGAGTGATGATTCATGAGAGTTACTGTAGAATGTAGGGCACCCAACCCAACTCATGAAGGCCAACTTTTTCGTCCTCCATTATCTACAGACCCAGTTCTACTATGCGTGCATATGGATTTAAGATATGACGCGGCTGTTAAAGGCAGTTGGCACGGTAAATCCCCAAGGCGAGTAGGATCAATACGCCTGGCAGGGAATCCCGCGCTCCTGCAGGCGTTGCGTAGCGTCTTTCTCGAAAAAGGTGCCCTTATAAGGCCTATCAAGCTGCAACATACCGACCCGGACGCCCACCGCGCCCGCCCGCCCACAAATGGACGACCGTACCTGATGCTCGTATTGCTTCATTTGCGAAGTAAAATATGAAGCGAAGGGATTGAAGAGGATGTTGCATGGATATATGCATACACACGTACAGCCGTATCTACCGTAGCGGTTATTGGCGCGATGCATACGGGAAACTCGTCCGAAACGGCTCTCGGAGTCATGTAGAACAGAGGCTTTTTTGCGGGTTTTTAACCGTTTCACTTGGTTTTTTTTCGCCATTTCTCACTATATAGCACTCCCGCTTCCTATATAGCACCCCCGCTACAATTCTAGACCGAGTACCAAATTATCGTGCAATATGCCTTTGAGGCACATGAGCGGTAAGCAGGGTAAAGCATCGTGGTGAGTGAAATGGAAGTATTCTTACGAGCCCCCGTAAATTTGCTCCTGTATTACCCTCTTCCCCATTGCACATCAGATACTGTGGCGCCGAGGCAGATACTACCCCTCCTCCCCTGATAGGTTTCCCAACGATGCTGTACCCTAGCCGCATAAATCCGCGGAACTTGTAAGAGTAACATACATCGAAAATAGAGCATCAAAGACGGGTTGGATCGAGGACTACGAGGGTCACTATGATTATAGAGGGCACCCAGAGAAGTTTTCATGGAAAATGTTGACTTGCTTGCTATTACTAATGCAAACGTTTTTTTTTGTTGAAATTTTTGTGCAGTCACTAGTGGTACGAGAACTGGTTCAGCTCACACTCAACGACCGTGATATCAAGGTAGAATCCACCCAGGATTCGGGAGAAATCGATGTTGCTGGCGAAGTAGATGACCTGGAAAGTAGTCTTCTGAAAATCTCGTTGATATGTAATAAGGAGAACCAAGTGAGTTATGTTAAAATTTATCCACTCTTGGTATTCTACCAAAATGTATCCTATATTAAGTCGGAAGATTCATTTGATGAGCCTCCATCGTTCAAAAGCATAATCATCAACAAATCTCCAACAGTCCTAAGAACTAAGAACTTTTCGTCCGTGAAAGGTGGGTATTTCCTGATTGGTATCGAAGTCACGTAAGGCGAAAACGAGTCTTAATGATCATTCTCTTTCTTATCCATTATGAAAGGATTCTACTGCTCGTCTTTGCTTATATCTGAGCACTATTCGTTTCTCCTTCGTCCTGAATCCTTGGCCAGCTTAAGAGTCGAGGAAAACGGCGATCGAAAAGTTAGCTTAGCAGCATTCACCTGGGCTATCATTAGTTGAGAATTCTGGTCGAGTCCGTACGACCTCCCCCCATTTTTTAAGGGGTCGGTACGATCCCCTCCCCTTCCGTCCTCACGCAGCTGTCGAGCGGGGTGAGGGGGGGGGGGAATTGCGAAACGGGAAAAGCCGCGAGAAAACATACGACTTCTCTACATCTTGATTTTCCAACTTCCTGACCATCTTTCCGGAATTTCACGAAAATTTTCCCTTTTTCCTACAAATCCAAAAATATGGCTGTGGAGGGGCGATTGGCACGACAAGAACCCTAAGCACGAGGTGGTGAGGTGTATGGTACACATTGAAACAAACAGAAAAAAAAGTCACGAAAAAGGCGACCTCTTCGGAAGGTCGAGAGGGCAATTACGCCCCCCCCCTACCAACGACGGACCCCTCCCCCCATTTGGGTAATCCTCAACAACGATGTGCCCTGGCATTCACAGCTGTTTTCAGCGAACTATCAGATTTGATTTATCAATCATAATCAGTCTCGAAGGGTAGAAGCTACCCACCCACGATATCGCGAGAAGAAATCGTGTTGCTGGAAAAGTAGATGGACCTGGAAAGTAGCTCTTCTGAAAAAACGCGGCCGGTCGCCCCATTTTCGATGATCTGCTCTTAAGAGCAGTTGGCACGACAAACCCCTAAGACGAGTAGGATCGATCATATAAAAAAAACAAAAATAAATTCCTATGGGATGACCTACGAGATGCGAGATGCGAGCCGCCTACGCGAATGTGTCCGGTTAAAAGGATATGGAAGGTTAATTTGATACTCGGCCTGAAATGCTAGCAGGACGCGGCCGTCGCCCCATTGTCATGATCTGCTCTTAAGAGCAGTTGGCACGATAAACCCCTAAGACGAGTAGGATCAATACGCTGGCAGGACGAAACTGCGCGCCCCTGAGCAGGCGCTTCGTAGGTCGCTTTTTCAAGGAAGTACTTTTACTAAGCCCTATTTGAAGTCTGCAACATACCGACCCGGACCCATCCGCGCCGCCCCGCCTTCCAATAGGAGATCGTACTTGGCGCATCGTGTTGCTTCATTTGCGAAGTAATATACCCAAGGGGAGTTGATATTGAAGCTGACCGTGGCACTGTGATAGACGTATAAGTTACCATCCTTGCCGACGTAGCTCCGTTAGCCTGTTATTGGCAAGATCCTACTGAAAACTCGTCCGAACATCGCTTTTTCAAATGTTAAGAACGAAAACTCCTTAGCAGGGTTATTTTAATCGTTTCTTTTGCATTTTCGCTTACTATGCTAACATTTATAAGGCCTAGTATCAAATTATCCTTATGCTTTTCTAACCGGAACATTCGCGTAAAGCGGCCTTGCATCTCGCATCTCGTAGGTCATTCCATAGGCTGGGATCATTCTTCGGCGATCCTATAATCACAGAATCTCATCGCAGCGTCATCATAGTTCCGCCTGCTGATTGAACGTAATCGATTGCTAACCTCCTTTCGATTATTTATTGGATCAGAGACTTGCAGTTTTTTTCGGAAGACGTGGTGCTTCAGCATGCATGTCCGAAAATTTGATCACGAATCGAGTTCAGCTCAATCAATCCGTTCATTGATTAATACCGAACCCTGCCTGTCTTCGAGCCCGTTTGTGGGTGGCCTGTACATCGACTGTCACACGCAGAAAAGTACCTTTATTTCTCCTCAATACCCCACTTCCATCTTCTTTTCCTACGTATACTGCTCGACATCCGTCGAACGAAACCCAACTGCGACCCACTGTGAGCGGGCTATTTGGTTTCCTGATGGGTATGTGGGATTGCCTGTAAAAGGCCAGTCAAACAAACATACCAGGGGGTCCGTAATTGCCAGATTGTCTCATCCTCACGCAGTAAATTATGCCAATAACGATTTTAGTAGTGTTCCAAGTCCTATGCTGTAATCCGTGCTTTGCTGCTGGTTTGCTTCACATGCCTATGTGAATTTGTTAGTTATTCAAAGACTGCCGAATTTTTTCAGAAAAGACTCCCATATCGCCTCTGGCGGAAAGGAATTCACCCGCTCAGTGTTATTCAGCTGTTAAAAGTACACCCGCTCAGTGTCATCCATCCATTAAAAGGGCTAGACAACCAGTCATGGTAACTTCCTGTTTACTTTTTTTTGTTTTTTCATAAGGTCTTAAATACAGAGCAGTTTGAAAAAAGTTATTTTGAACATCCTTTCAAGAGCACAAAGGACTCCTTTGGCCCTTAACGTTCACTCATCGTGGGATCATCAGAATGCGAACCAGTGTTACTGCTTCAGGGCACATCATCGTTGGGGATTCCCCACGGAGAGGTCGTATTTGGTCGCTAGAGGGAGGGGGGGGGGTCGTATTTGGTCTGAGAAAATTTTTTTGATAGTTGATTTTTCTTGTTCCACGGACGCTATAAAGGGGGAGGGGGTCGTATTCGCTCATTGTCGGGAGATGGGGAGTCGTATTTCCCTTCTGGCTGGCTTTCTGGGAGGGTATGTCGATTTTTCGTGGTTTTTCGTGTTTCGTATGTACTATAAACGCCTCCACCCCGCCGCTCGACAGAAAATTTCTTACGAAAAACTATGAATTTTTTGAAAACCCGGAAAAATTGGTAGGAAGTTGGGAAAATCTAGGAAAGAGGTGGGGTAGGAAGGGGGGGGTCGTAATTTTCCTCGCGATTTTTCCCCTTCTCACATGTGCTAAATACCCCCTCCCCCCTTCCTTCCCTCCGCCGCTCAACAGGTCGATCGTGTCAGAGAGGAGTCGTATCAAACCACCTTTTAGTGGGGGAGGTCGTACGGACTGAACCAAAATCCCCAACTAATGATGTGCCCTGTACTGCTCTGTACTGTAATTATGCGTCCCTGAGTTTTGCTTCAGCATCCACCAGAGTTTTCCAGGTGAAATCACCTTCTACTGCTAGCCCTTTGACGAAAAATTTGCGTACTGAAAAGTTACTTGTATCAGCACCTCCAAGTACAGACCTCGAAATAGACGACGTTTGCAGGTGAGTGCAAATTAGTGTTTCCTAGACTCGACCTCTCACTAAGGAACCTTTGCAGGACTGAGTCTGCCTGGAACTATTTCACTCAACGCAGCTCTCTCTGGAACAAAATCGGAGTAGCACTGGCGACAAGACGTACTTCTGCTTCACTGGAAGGAATTCAAGGAATCTGCCTCTGCCCGATTGATGGTTCTCCACACTTCATACCTCTGACTGAGGAATACTTTCCAGGTGAGGCTTTTGTATATGGAACCATCGTTGCAGGAGGATACGTAGAGATGGACTGGGCGCTCATCTGCGGTGGTCCTGGTTCTTGCTACGTAGCTGAATGGATCCGCAGCTGCAGTAGCTTGAGACTTTCTTTGCTCAAAAGGGCGTGGGAACTCTGCTGGGCAAAGTGTTACAAGGGTGCCGTCTTCATACTCCGCCCGCGCCGCCTTACGACCAGCCACACGCCTAATCATAGCCACACACGGTACTTGTGTGCGCCCTCTGACTGTGACTGTGTGCTCGATGCTACAATTTTTATATCGGCCCAAATGCTGCACATTTGAGGGTAGCGGGAAAAAGTCTCAAACTACCTAAAGTCTCTCAAATACCTTACAGCTTATTCTGCGCTCTGAAATGACAAAATGTCACACTTGTTCAGCTCTTCACCCTTTTTCTCGAATATGGCAAAAATCGTCCTTAGGTACAGTTTGCTTTCGCATCGCTTTTGGTATGTGGGATGCCCTGAGAGATGGGGTTCTTTTCATGTGTAAGGCTCAACTATAAGATGGCAGTGGTAGGAATTCCTCCCCTTCCTCTGTTACAAGGGAGGTACAGTTGCTCATGAACGTAACCGCGGCCTTGTCTTGCCACCAATTTTCCCGCCCTTATGTGCGCGGCTGTATGGCCCTTGCTCAAGTTTGCCTGTTTTTCGCTCAGCTTTCAGCGTGTCTGCCTTGCCATCCCCGGATGCTTGTCCAGTGCTGAATAACCACGTCTAACATCGGGTATTGACGTCAGTTCCCTTGGCTTTTTCTTCAGACCTAGGGCAACTATATCTCTAAGAATTTTTATTATTTTTGTCGTTTTGTTAGAGAGTGATTACTCTTTTTTGGAGTTATAAGTTCTATAAAAGGTGGATCAGCCGTCAGGACGTTCATACCGTTGGCATGTTAGAGCTTTCATATTGAACTGTTAAAGGAAATGACGCAGAAGAGGCAGTTTGCCCATCTTCAACGCCCTCGCAATCTATATCTCTTGAAGAACGTGTTTCATGCATCTCTATGATTCTACAGTCTTGTGAGCTGTACCTGATCGATGCACTCCAAGACTGCCATCTTCTGAGAAGGAGATTCAAGCTAAAGGTTTGTGGAGTTGTGGAGCTGCCATCTCCAACCGCTATCCTAACTTTATGAGACATTCTAGAGTCCACGTGTGAGATGTGTGTCGTACATGGCTTTCCTTGGACATATGCGCCGGGGCGATCATGTGCTGCCCCTTCACGAAATTGCTGCCAAGTTCCCCTGGAGTTTCGACTGTGCATCACTTTTGCGTATGAATCCACGGATTGCTTCAGGAGCTGAGGCGTACCTAGCCTCGAGGTGTACCTATCGTTTAGGTTTAAAATTTCCTTTTTTAACTGATTCTTTTTTTCAGGTTGCCTGGCATTCTGGCTCCAATCATCATCGACTGCTCATCTTCAGAAAGCTTTCGGCTTGAGATGCGATCGCTTCAGGTATCAGTGGTTGACCCTTATTTTTGTGAGTTTGATCTCCAGTTCTCCGTTTATGCCCTCTCTCCCTAGGCTGTGAACAGCATGTGCATTGGTGGTTTCTGCTTCGATCGGACTCTATGTTCATCGCTGCTGCAACAGCTGAAGGAGAGTATAGAGCAATTGGAAACTGAGTGTTTTAAGTTGGTTGGACACCAGTTCAACCTCGACAGCACGAAGCAAGGTGTCGGAGGTATGTTATCTAGCCTTCACTAATGTTTGGCACTGTTGGACTTGATTGGTCGTCAATTTCAGTCCCGTGTTTTTTCTATTTTTCTCATTACAGGTGAACTTATGCGTTTTTTAAGCTTCATTAATCTGCGGTCATACTTTGTGGCAGCGTCCACCAGCGTCCCGAGCGTCCAGCAGCGTCAACGACTATGAAAATATACATATGAACCCAGCGTCTACCAGAGTCTGCCAGCGTCCAACAGCAACTAGCAGCGTTCGTGAGTGGAGGGTGTGGCGCGACAGGAGGGTAGCAGACAGCTCGTACCCTCATATCGCACCATACTCTCTACCAGCAGTCTGCTGCTGGTCACTGGTGGACGCTGGTAGACGCTAGCTAGATTGATACCTATACTTCGTCAGTCCTCGGGACGCCAGATAAACACCTACGCTTCTCTAGAGACGAGACCAGCGAGACGCTGCTGGGAGCTGGCAGACGCTGGTGGACGCTGACAGACGCAGTCATCGGCAGTCGATATCTATACTTTCCTAGCCGCTGACGCTGCCGGACTCTCGGAACGCTGGTGGACGCTTCCGCAAAGTATGAAGGCCTTACATTCACCACTATCATACAGGGGGGCCAAAAAAAGTCACTTCGACCGAGTCACATATCAGCAAAGTTTTCGCAGCCCAGAGAGAAGACGTGGATACGAGTACCAGGGCGGAAGATACCCAAGATGTTCCTCGATAAGCAGGAGCTGGCTCTCGCCTTCATGTACACCAAAATATGAAGTCATCTCCAGTCGCAGCCTGACTGGAGAAGACCTTTGGAATTCATGTCACCTCCAAACAGCTGCGAAACTTCTAGTATGGAGTCACCCATGGATAGCTACCTGGAGACCAGTACTCTCGATCTGGATGAACATCGAGCAGCTCCGACAACGTCGCCACGGTCTAGGACATCATCTTCACCACAGTCGCCAAGGCGCGGGTTGATGGTATGGACCGGACGTACCTGGAATGGAAAGACCAATATTTTCTTCGTGGACCCGGACTGAAGGTGAGCGCTGGCGGTTACATTGGGCAACTCGTGAAGAATATCCTCCTCACATGTCGTCGCCCGTACCTTCTTGGAAACTTTGTACTGCTACAGCATTGGGTGCCACCACATGAAATCGAAGGGCGTTGGAGAAACTCTCGCCTACTTGGAATGGAAGGGGGCTGAGTACCTAAAGAAGATGGAATATCCAAGTAGGTCACCTGACCTGAATCCCCTCAATTACCCGGTTCGGGCGGAGTTCAATAGGGTGGTCTACGGTGGCGGAGAAATCGACTATCTCGCTGATCTCAGGGACCACATCGCGGTCGCGTGCCAGAATCTCTCGATGGCGCTCCTCCAGAAGGCTGTGGCGGAGTGTCATAATAGTATTTAATATGCTCTTTAATATGGTGGTAGAAATGTCCGATCAGAATTTATAAAGTGTAACTTATAGCGCCTCGAAAGTCAATGAAGCAAAGTGACTTTTTTTTGGCCCCCCTGTAGATGCTCCCGCTCTTCCTGATGTACCCCGTTTAGGTGCTCTTTTGTCGTCTCAAACTCGCATGTCCTGGAGGATCCTCAACTAAACGACACCTGTCCACCAACAAGGCGATACTGGAACAAATGAAAACGCAACATCCTGTCGTTGCGAATATTCTACAGTACCGTCGCTTCAAACATGCTCTTACGGTAATCAGTTCCACGGGCAAGCAATTTAGACATACTTTTTGGTCTAACTTTCGTCTGAACCTCACAAAGACAGTCTATATTTTTGCTTTTGTTTTGATTCGTTCGGATAGGTTTCTTTTGGTTCTTCTCTTTTGAATTTCCTCATCGCCTATTATCTCCTCGATTCATTTTCTTTAGGCATTGTCTCATATTGTTCTTTTTTTCAGCAATGTATTGTTCCAATGCAATATTTTGTTGACGATGACGGTATAGTAAGAAGTCATTGCGATATGAACACCTCGACTGGGCGAATTCTTTGTATAGAGCCGAATGTGCAGACAGTACCCAAAGAAGAGTTGATTGGTGGCATCAGTCTTCGACATCTCTTCAAGGCTCAACAAGGCAAGCATTTTGAAATATTCCGGCTTGGATGGCTCCTTTGACAGTGTTGTCTTTATCTTGTCCTCTTATCTAGAAATATATTTGAGAGTAAGAAAATTCCCAGAGCATGGGTTTAGGGGGATGCTTTTGTTGGGTATTGAAGCTGCGATCAGCTTGCAGTGAGAAAGGTGAACATTAGATGTTCACCTGTATACTGCAATAAACCCTGCAAACGACAGGGCCTGTGACGCGACGCGGATTGGAGCCTTGTTCCAACAATGATATCATTCCGAGCCCGCTTCAACCGGGTGGCAGTGTGCCGTGACTGCGCTCCAACCCACGCTCCTGTCACACGCCGCGTCTTTTGCAGCGATTATGGCCTCATGGCGATGAAGGGTGGAGTGGAGAACTTGTTCCTGATCGCAAAGGCACAGCTCAGGAATATTTTAGCGAATATGTTATCCTTGTTAAATTCGTTAGTATTGCTATGCCTCTTGAGGTTTTTAGGTGGAATCTTTATTCAACGGCCTAACGTTTCGACAGGGTCGTCTTCTTCAGAGGCCTAAACGTGTTTCGAGTTAAGGAGATGAACACTACCCCTCAAGCGCCCAACCAACCCTAGCAGTTCCGATGACGATGTTATGTTATCCTTAGTATTACACGTGCAGTGCTTATTGGAGCGTCGAGTGGAACGTACATACGTTTTGGCAGTACCCCATCCTACTTCCATGAGTGGCTGTACCGCCGCATAGTGGACTGCGCCGACGGGTGGAAACGTTCTGGTGCCGCACGCAGGAATGCCTTCACCCGACCTCCGTTCAGCACTT